GTGTTTACCATTTGTTAATTGTCATTGGAAGTTCACCCCAGATAGGGTAATTTACCAGTGAGAGCAAATAATCAAACAAAGGCACGAACTGTGGTGAGATTTTAACAGATCATGTCTTTTGTGGAATTGGTATGTCCTCCTTGTAATTAGTAGCCTACTGGTATGTGTGTAAAATTTGTGCCCTTTAGCTGGAGGGTGTTATCTTGATATTGAACCAAATTCTCAAAATTGATATTTGAGAACTTTACTGCAACTGAAAGAGAGAAGAGGATATTCTTGTCCATAAGATCTTTAGAGTTGAAGGAACAAGTTTCAAATAAGCCACTATGCTAGTGGTATATTGTGAATCAACATTTATCTACCAAGTGAACAAAGTTTTTTTGTCATTTTTCTGATCCCCCATCAGTTTTTGAATGTATATAAGGGTATATATTTCTATATTAAGTTCATGGTGAATCTGTCCTATTACAAGTTTGCCCCATAACACCTCAGTGACTTTGCCCCCTTAACATTTAACAAGTTCACCCCACCTTCACCAGTTTGCCTTCAAATCTTTTGACTTGTAACAAAATTTGATCAACATGCAAATTCCAAGCTGTGCTAAACACAAAGGCGCTTTATATAAGGAAGTCTTCCCTGGGAAGACCTAGGCTCATTTGTCACTCACCGTTGACGTGTGCGGATCAAATTTAAATGCTGGTAGACGAACAAAAGGAGCTAATGAGATATCTATTGTTTACTTCCACCAGCATGGGGGCAATGAGGTAATGTGCAAACCCGGGTGGGGGGGGTACTTTAGGATTTCTGGGCGCGGGGATGTGCTGCTGGGACCCTGGAACCCTTAACCTATACTAGAGGTAGTTCAGCTGAATTTTGCTACCCTATACTAGAGTAAACTCCCCAAACCCCCCTATCCTAGAGTAGCTGTTTTCCAGCTAAAAAAAAGAAGCATTTACCTTCTTTCTCTAAGTTACAAAAAAGCTAGTCCACCTTCCTTGTATAGTCTCGAAGATTAGTCCTAAATGAGTCCTAATTTGGGACGGGTTTTGGATACAGGTTTTCGATTTTCAACCCCGTATTCAACTTGGTCGCGTTGCTAGTTACATGCTGAGCTCTGGGGCTGAGCTATGCCAAGCA